AGAGAGACATTTTAGGCAGAGTAATGTCTAATCATCTGTAACTACGAAACTTAGAAAGGATATCTGTTATACCACTTCGACTCATTCATAGCAGCATGATACTTCTACATTTTATGTTTATGAGACTATGATATTGGCTTCACCGACCCTTACATCATTTTGCCACTTTAAGAAATGCTTGACTCCCTTTCCCACTGCACCATACATAATTTCCTTTAGAAAGCAAGCTCATGCTTGAATAAGTTACTATTATGTTTCTACTCTGGATTTTTATTTTATTTTATGTTTTTTGCTTAAGCAGAGTCTGAGTCATGAAGTGGAAGACAGGGAAAGTGCCTCGTATAAGTGGCGATTGCTAATTTCATATGATGGTACCCGCTTTTCAGGTTTTGCCTATTTTTATTGTCTTTTTACCTAGTCTTTCCTCTTTTCTTTCAGCTGTTCCCACTTTTGCCCTTCCAGGAAGCTTTTTTCTGACTTCTGGTTGTATTTTTTATTTTATATTTTTTTTTTAACTTTGGGTAAACATCTACAAGGAAAAGAGTACCCTCAGTATAAATAAATATGACAAAAGGTCGACTACAAGCCGGTTAAGGAGCTAGGCCATCCTATTCGCAATCTCGATCACAAAAACTGCAACCAGTAATTCCTCTCAAATACAAATATATAGCCTGCCTCAAAAACAAAACAACCAATATCAGTATCCCTTAGTCGCAGAAAATATCAGCACTAACACTGTTGCCTGGGGCACCCAGTGAGCATCCTTTAGTGTTAAAACCTTAACCCAATTAAGGGCAGGAGTAATTCATAGTAATGGAATCAACCTTCTAGAAGTTTCCGGCCTGCCTTCCACCTGAAGACATATAAATAAGGGCGGCAATGTCTGGGATAACATGTAATACTTTGTTCATTTTCAGTCAGACAGCTTTATATTCACCTAAGTTGTGCACTTATTGTGCTTCTTCAGGGAGGAAGTGTAAAAAAAATATCTGCCTTTTCCTCTATATGAATTTATGATGGAACGTTCAATGTAACATTGTGTAAGATTTTGAAACTTAGCTCGTCCAAGCAGTCGTAAATGTATTTTGGAACTTTTATAGTGGACTTAGGCACTTAGTTTCTCTGTTGTGTTATGGTTTATTGTAGAGTTTTGGGTTATGATCGATTTTTTTACCATTTGAATCATTACATCGAAAACATTAACGCGTGTTAACTGCAAAATTGACGCTTTCCATGTAACTTCAGGTTTCTTGTATGTAAAATGTAGGATGGCAATATCAACAGTCAACACCGACTGTACAATGTTTAGTGGAAGAAGCTTTGACTCGTATTACAAAACTCGAACGCAATCAACTTTGTTTAGTTGGTGCAGGTCGAACAGATGCCGGAGTTCATGCCTGGGGTCAGGTCCATTTTGTTTTGTACAGTCTTCAAGAGTTGCAAAGCTCAATTGTTTTATCTTTGACTTTTTTTTTTTTTTTTTTTTTTTTTTT